CCTTATTAACGACAGATTTGGAAAGTACATTCTTTTTTTTTTTTGAGACGGAGTTTTGCTCTTGTTACCCAGGCTGGAGTGCAATGGCGCAATCTTGGCTCACCGCAACCTCCGCCTCCTGGGTTCAGGCAGTTCTCCTGCCTCGGCCTCCCAAAGTGCTGGGATTACAGGTGTGAGCCACCACACCCAACTTTTTTTTTTTTCTGAGACCGAGTTTCACTCTTGTTGCCCAGGCTGGAGTGCAATGGCACAATCTCAGTTCACCACAACCTCCACCTCCCAGGTTCAAGGGATTCTCCTGCCTCAGCCTACTATGCCTGGCTACTTTTTTGTATTTTTAGTAGAGACCGGGTTTCTCCCTGTTGGTCAGGCTGGTCTCAAAGGTGATCTGCCCACCTTGGCCTCCCAAAGTGCTGGGATTACAGATGTGAGCCACTGTGCTCTGCCTTTTCTGAGTCTTTGATCAACCTTTCACATGTGAGAGGGGAGTAGAGGAATAGTCATTTATGCATTCATCTAGTTCAGTGAATTTGCATTTTTACAAAATAAAAAATAAACATAGGGCAGAAGAAGCAATGAGATATGCATTTGTCTCAGGTGAGCAGAGAGATAACTTTGAGTTCTGCCAGTCCAGCACCTGTGAAGATAAGCTATCACTTTACACTGTCAGGGTGAAATTCCACAGAACTGTTTGAAGGTACAGATCTTGGGGTCCAGAAGGAATTTCCTAGTGGGCAAATTGTGAGGGCCAGGCCATGTCTAGCGTTTTATCTTTGTAGTCATCTTATTAAGGAATAAAATGGGAGGTAGGTTTGCATGATGAAGGCCCCAGATTGACTTTTCCCTTTGGCTTAGTGACTTTGGGGTCCTGAGATTCATTTTCCTTTCACATAGTACCTTAGAGAGAGACACTCGGAGTTTTTGCAGTTTTCAGCCATGACAATCAATGCTGCCATTCACAACTTTCCCCAAATCTCTGCAGATCCCCTGCCCACTACGGAGTTGGAAAGTTTCTTCCTAAAGGACCCACGTGAGGAAACCAGCGCAATTTCTTCTAACTGCAAATCCAATGTAGCTGCTTCCACTTGGGCAAAGTGTGATTTTTCTCCCGAGGAAAACGGCAGCTCTGGGTCCTGGCCAAAGAGGTTAAAGAAAAAAAAAATCCCAAGCCAGAAAACAAACAAACAAATAACAAAAAAGCAACATATTACTTGGATCCCTGAGTCTCAGAAAAGGGGCCTGTGTCTTTAAGGCGCATCGGTCTTTTGGGAGTTGTAGTTTCGAGGGTACAGGAACGGCCCTCTCCCCACCTCCCTTCTCAATCGCAGCCCCGCTGCCCTTCAGGAAAGCGCTGCCCCGACCATCCTCGCTAGCCCGTGCGGTGGCACCGAGCGTGTCGTTTGCCGGGCGGGGATCCGGCCAGGCGGACGCAGAGGTTAAACTACATTTCCCAGTGTTCGCCGCGAGGGTCGCGCAGCCTCGCGTTAAAGAGCCCGCTCCGCCGAGCACCGGGCCGCGGCAGGTACGTCTGTCCGCGAGGGTCCCCGCAGCGCCCCTTTGCCCCCGCGGCTTCCCGGTGCACCCTCCCTGACGGGTAGCACCGAGCTGAGCCGCGAGCTGCCCGGGGTCTTGACAGGGAAGAGTCCCCGGGAAGTCTGCGCCACCCGGGGAGCCCACAGGGGCTTCTGCGCTACCGCGTCCCCTTGGCCTGGTTCTTCTAGGGTATCCCCGCGACCCGTCTGGTGCGGCGGGACCTGCGGGCGGCTGGGACCGGGAGGGATGCGGGCCCCAGAGGATCCTCGTCCTGAAACAGGTGGGGCCCGGGATGCCGGCGCTGCTCTGAATTTGCTTTGAGGCCGCGTCTCTTGCCTCAGTTTACCCGGCCAGGGGTCAGTATTATGCACGAATCTCAGTGATATGTTGTTGGTTAATTTACAACACGATTTTACTCCTAATTAACTTCTTTCGGTCTGTTATTCAGAAGGCAGCAAATACTCCGTGAACCATTTTTTTCCTCTTTAAAGTTCTAAAATGTGCAGTCCCTGACCCACCTCTCTTCAAAAGGTACATATGAAGAATTCTTTATATTTTATTCTGTCTCTGGCTCCCCCACCCTATCCCAGTCTTGGACATCGTGGGGCTGAGGAGACTAAAACATTTATTTTTCTTTTTTTGAGGCGGAGTTTTGCTCCTTCGCGCCTGCTGGTGTGTGGTGGCGCGATCTCCGCTCACTGCAACCTCTGTTTTCCAATTTCAAGCGATTCTCTGGACTCAGCCTCCTAAGCAACTGGGATTGCTGGCACCCGCCACCACGCCTGGCTAATTTTTGTATTTTTAGTAGAGACAGCGTTTCCCATGTTGGCCAGGCTGGTCTTGAACTCCTGTCCTCGTGATCTGTCTGCCTCGGCCTCCCAAAGTGTTGGGATTACAGGCATGAGCCACCTCAATGGCAAGATCGCACCACTGCGTTCCAGCCTGGATGAAAAGAGTGGAATTCTGTCCCCCCTCCCCCCAAAAAAAAGCCAGGCATGGTAGCTCACACCTGTAATCCTAACCCTTTGGAAGGCCCAAGGGGAGGATTACTTGAGTCGGAGTTGTAGGTCAGCCTGGGCAACAAAGCCAGACCCCATCTCAACAAAAAATAAAAAATTAGCGGGACTCATGCCTATAGTCCCAGCTACTTGGGAGGCTGAGATGAGAGGATCACTGGAGCCCAGGAGTTTGAGGCTGCAGTGAGCTGTGATCATGTCTCTGCATTCCACCCTTTGGTGCCAGAGCCAGACTCTGTTTCTCAAAAACAAAACAAAAACCTAGCCTGCCGGTACTATTTTTGTACCAACCTAAAGCTACGTTTCTGCTTTTGAAACTGTGGTTTCCTTATCCAGAGCTTCTGTGAGATAAGAGTCAATTCTTAGGGCTGCTGGGTGGTTCATGTGAAGTAATGCTGAAGTGCCTTTGGCATAATGCCTGAAAAAAGCACTCCATATGTGTTAGCTCCCTATCTCATTTTACCTTTTGCATTAATCCCTCAGGAAATCAACCCCTCAGCCTTGCTTGATTTCCCCATGGCTTCCCTGATTGTTTTCTTCTTCAGGGCGATCTTGAACTCACAGAATATTTGAGAGCTTCCAGTCCCTCCTTCAGGGACAGGTTAAACTCTCCTGCTTCCTTGTCTGGCTGGAAAGATCTGTCACTCATTGTGTGTCATATACTTTACCTTGTATTTGATGCTGAAAACAGTCCTGGGAGGTTGGTATCTTTGACCATAATTTTCAGATTAGGAAACTGAGTCTTAGAGAGGTTAAGTAACTTGTCCAGGATCATACAGGAACAGGTAGGGATGGAGTCAGAGCCTTATGGGACTGATACTTAGCCCAGGACTGTTCCTCTGCTCCTGCCATTAGGAAGGGATACCCTCACCACTCTGGCCGTGATCTGTCACCTGCTCATGTCTCTCCATCACTATGTTGAGATGAAGACTGGGCTCAGACCTTCTGGGCCATTGAACTTTATTTAGCGCATTTCTTTCTTTTCTTTCTTTTTTTTGATTTTTATTTTTGCCAGGTGCTGTGGCTCATGCCTATAATCCCAGCTCTTAGGGAGGCAGAGGCAGGAGGATAGCTTGAGCTCAGGAGTTCGAGACCTGCCTGGGCATATAGCAAGACCCCGTTCTCCACAAAAAGGAAAAAAAAACAAAAAAAGCATAAATTTTTATTTTTGAGATGGAATCTCACCCTGTCAGCCAGAGTGCAGTGGCATGATCTTGGCTCATTGCAACATCCACCTCGTGGGTTGAAGCAGTTCTCTGTCTCAGCCTCCCGAGTAGCTGGGGATTACAAGTGCCCATCACCACACCTGGCTAATTTTTGTATTTTTAGTAAAGACAGGGTTTCACCATCTTGGCCAGGCTGGTGTTGAACTCCTGACCTCGTGATCTACCTGCCTCGGCCTCCCAAAGTGCTAAGATTACAGGCATGAGCCGCCCTGCCCAGCCTCTTTTTTTTTTTTTTTTTTTTTTTAGGACATTGTTTCACTTTTATTGCCCAGGCTAGAGTGCAATGGCGTGATCTCAGCTCACTCTAGCCTCTGCCTCCCAGGTTCAAGCAATTCTCCTGCCTCAGCCTCTGGGGTAGCTGGGATTACAGGTGCCTGCTACCATGCCCAGCTAGTTTTTATGTATTTTTAGTAGAGTCATGGTTACACCATGTTGGCTAGGGTGGTTTCGAACTCCTGACCTCAAGTGATCCACCCACCTCAGCCTTCCAAAGTGCTAGGATTACAGGTGTGAGCTATCGTGCCTGGCCTTCTTTCTTTTTTTTTTCTTGAGACAGAGTCTTGTTGTGTTGCCTAGGCTGGAGTGCAGTGGCGCTATCTTCACTCACTGCAGCCTCTGCCTCCTGGGTTCAAGTGATTTTCTTGCCTCGGCCTCCTGAGTAGCTGGGACTACAGGCACATGTCACTACACCTGGTTAATTTTTGTACTTTTAACAGAGATGGGGTTTTGCCATGTTGGCCAAGCTGGTCTTGAACTCGTGACCTCAAGTGATCTGCCTGCCTTGGCCTCCCAAAGTGCCTCCCAAAGTTCCATTGTGGATGTGAGCCACCTGTGCCCCAGGCATTTCAGGGATTTCTTTCTTGCTGTCTTTTCTTGTTTCCAGACAGGGTCTGGCTTTGTCACCCAGACAAAGCAATGACACCAGCTTACTGCAACCTCTGCCCCCAGGGCTGAAGTGATCCTCCTGTCTCAGCCTCCTGAGTAGCTGGGACTATAGGCACACTCACTATGCCTGGCTAATTTGTGTGTGTGTGTGTATGTGTGTGTGTGTGTGTGTGTGTGTGTTTGTGTGTGTGTGTGTGTGTGTTTGGTAGAGATGGGGTTTTGCCATGTTGTTGAGGCTGGTCTCAAACTCTTGGGCTCAAGTGGTCCACCTGCCTCAGCCTCCCAAAGTGCTGGGATTACAGGTGTGAGCTGCCACGCCTGGCCTCTTGCTGTCTTTCAGTGCCTTTGCTTGGGACCAGATATCATTATCACCGTCACTTGAATAAGAATCCAAAAGACCCAGGTATGTTACAACTTCGACTCTAGTGTCTACTGGCCTCTGTAAAGTGGAGATAATAATGTTTATCTTGGAGGGTGTAAGGGTGTTGTCAGGATAAAAAAAAAATCACAGCACCTTAACTACTGTCTAGAGTGGATTAGCTCAGTCCAAGTGGCTCTGATTAATTAATTAATTAATTACTTTTATTTTGAGACGGAGTCTCGCTCTTTGACTAGGTTGGAGTGCAGTGGCGCGATCTCAGCTCACTGCAGCCTCTGCCTCCAGGGTTCAAGTGATTCTTTTGCCTCAGCCTCCTGAGTTGCTGGGACTATAGGCATGTGCCACCATGCCCAGATGATTTTTGTATTTTTTTAGTAGAGGCGGAGTTCCATCATGTTGCCCAGGATGGTCTTGATCTCCTGACCTTGTGAACTGCCCACCTCAGCCTCCCAAAGTGCTAGGATTACAGGTGTAAGCCACCATGCCTGGCCGACATTTTTTAAGTAGATGAAACTATAGCTTTAGAGAGCAGATCAGTGGTTGTCAGGGATTAGGGGTGGAGGAGAGAGTGTATGAGGAAGTTTTTTTGGAGTGCAGATAGTGGTGATACCAACAAGAACCTATACACATGTTAAAATCATAGAATTGTATACAAAAATAATTAATTTTACTTATGCCAGCTTAAAAAATAGTTACATCTACCCATCTTGCTGTCTCAGGAAGCCTCTCCGCTTGGCCAGAATGGAGCAGCCAAAAGGAGTTGATTGGACAGTCGTCATCCTGACCTGCCAGTACAAGGACAGTGTCCAGGTCTTCCAGAGAGGTAGGGGACTCCCCCTTCCCACAAAGCTCCTAATGGAGAACCCCCTCCCCTTCCTGGCTATGTCCTTCCAACCCTAGGTGCCAGGCAGACCTGGGTTCAAACCCAGATCACCTTCTCCCTAGCCATGACATGCTTATGTGTCATGTCATTTCCTTGTGCCCCAGGGTTCTCATCTGTAAGATGGGAGTAATAGGACTTCTCTCACCGAGTTGGGTGAAGATCTAATGGCCTCCTACATGGAAAGTTAAGTCAAGGATGATCAAACACTGACGATCAGTAGGCTCGCTCAGGTGCTTCAGGCCAGGACACTGAGCTGGGGGGCAGGTCTCAGCGTCTCTTCCGACCTTAGAACTGGAGGTGCGGCAGAAACGGGAGCAGATCCCTGCTGGGACGCTGTTACTGGCTGTGGAGGACCCAGAGAAGCGTGTGGGCAGCGGAGGAGCCACCCTCAATGCCCTGCTGGTGGCTGCTGAACACCTGAGTGCCCGGGCAGGCTTCACCGTGAGTGCTTACCAGGGCCACCTCCCTGGTCCATGTCCCTACTAGAACCAGGTCATTTCCAAGATTCCTGGCTCCTCTGGCTCCATCTCCCTGGCCAATTCAGCTTTGGCTTCATCATTAGCTTCAGTTTTTGTTTCTGTAAATTGGGCGGATTCATCTCTGCCTTGCCATCCAGGTGAGGGTGGAAGGCAGGGCCAGCTTTTGCACTGTTTTTAGAGAGTTGAAGCAAATATCTCAAAGTGAGGCTTTCTGGCTTCTCTAAACTTTCAAAGGTCTTGCCAGCCTGGGCTATCATTCCCACATGGCACCTAACTGTTCACTGGAACTGAGATGTGGCCGCCTGCTTTGGGCAGGGCATGTGAGTCAGCATCCCCACTGATCCCATGTCTCCCATGCACCCAGCCACTTTGCCCAGTCACCCTGTCTGCATAGCACCCTTGTGTGGAGTGTGAGGTTGGGCACAGGTGTGGACGTGCTCTGCAGAGGGAGATGGCACTAGCAGAGGAGAGGACCAGCGGAGCTGACTCCGCTGCGTCACCCATCTAGCCCCAAGCTGTGGCCTGTAACCTCCCCTTCAAAACAGGCAGCAGAGGCCGGGTGCGGTGGCTCATGCCTGTAATCCCAGCACTTTGGGAGGCCGAGGTGGGCAGATCACCTGAGATCAGAAGTTCGAGACCAGATTGGCCCACATGGTGAAACCCCATCTCTACTAAAAATACAAAAATTAGCCAGGCCTGGTGGCACACGCCTATAATCCCAGCTAATCACTGTAATCTCAGCAATTCTGAGGCAGGAGAATTGCTTGAACCCAGGAGGCGGAAGTTGCAGTGAGCTGAGATTGGGCCATTGCACTCCAGCCTGGGCGACAGAGCAAGATTCTGCCTCAAAAAAAAAAAAAAAAACCAGATAAAAAAAATTTAACAGGTAGCCAGGCGTGGTGGTGCACGCCAGTAGTCCCAGCTAGTTTTGAGGTGGGAGGCTTGCTTGAGCCTAAGAGATTGAGGCTGCAGTGAGCTGGGATCATCCCACTGCACTCCAGACTGGGTGACAGAGTGAGACCCTGTCCCCAAACAACAACAACAACAAACCAGGCAACAAGAAGGTGGCCCAGGTGGAGGGCCCTGGGTTCCCTTATCCAGGAGGGACGAGGGCTGCCCCTTGCCTGCCTGTGGCCATTGGTTTGACCTTGCCTTTTGTCCCTTGGGTACCTGAGTAAATTTGTGTTGGGGTCTCTCTCTGGATTTGAGGGTGCCTGCCATCCTCTAGGGAGCATTTGCCTCAGGCCTCTGTTCACAGGGCTTTCCTGCTCCTGCAGGTGGTCACGTCTGATGTCCTGCACTCGGCCTGGATCCTCATTCTGCACATGGTAAATGAACTTCGGGGCAGGGGCCAAGGAGAAGGCTGGAACTGCAGTTCTTGGAGTTGGGCAGGACTTCAGGGGTGTTCTGCCACAGTGTGTGCAAGGTGTAAATCTGGAAGATTCAGAGTCAATCTAAACATTCAGAAATTGGGAACTGGCCAGGTGCAGTGGCTCATGCCTGTAATCCCAGCACTTTGGGAGGCCAAGGCAGGTGGATCACCTGAGTTCAGGAGTTCAAGACCAGCTTGGCCAACATGGTAAAACCCTGTCTCTTCTAAAAATATAAAATAATTGCCGGGTGTGGTGGTGGGTGCCTATAATCCCAGCTACTCAGGCGGCTGAGGCAGGAGAATTGCTTGAACCAGGAGGCGGAATTGCAGTGAGCTGAGATTGCACTACTACACTCCAGCCTGGGCGATAGAGCGAGACTCCTGCTCCCAAAAAAAAAAAGGGAACTGGCTAAATATATACCACATATCCTTCCAGCAGAATATTAGATTAAAAGGTCTATCAAGGGCCAGGCGTGGTGGCTCATGCCTGTAATCTCAGCACTTTGGGAGGCTGAGATGGAAGGATATCTTGAGCCCAGTATATTGAGACCAGCCTGGACAGCATGGTGAAAACCTGTCTCTATAAAAAATACAAAAATTAGCTTCCGTGGTGGTGCATGCCTGTAGTTTCAGTTACTCAGGAGGCTGATAGGGGAGGATCACTTGTGCCTGGGAGGTTGAGGTTGCAGTGAGTTATCACACCACTGCACTCCAGCCTGGGTGACTTTGTCTCAAAAAACAAAAATATAGGCTGGGTGCAGTAGCTTACGTCTGTAATCCCAGCACTTTGGGAGGCCGAGGCAGGCAGATTATGAGGTCAGGAGTTTGAGACCAGCCTGGCCAGCATAGTGAAACCCCATCTCTACTAAAAATATAAAAAATTAGGGCAGGGCGTGGTGGCTCACTCCTGTAATCCCAGCATTTTGGGAGGCAAAGGCGGGTGGGTCACGAGGTCAAGAGATCGAGACCATCCTGGTCAACATGGTGAAACTCCATCTCTACTAAAAAAAAAAACACAAAAAATTAGCTGGGCATGGTGGCGCGTGCCTGTAATCCCAGCTACTCAGGAGGCTGAGGCAGGAGAATTGCCTGAACCCAGGAGGCGGAGGTTGCGGTGAGCCAAGATTGAGCCATTGCACTCCATCCTGGGTAACAAGAGCGAAACTCCGTCTCAAAAAAAAAAAAAAAAAAATTAGCTAGGCATGGGGGCGTGTGCCTGTAGTCTCAGTGGCACACAACTGTAATCTCAGGAATTTGGGAGGCCAAGGTAGGCAGATCACTTGAGGTCAGGAGTTTGAGACTAGCTTGACCAACATGCTGAAACCCCATCTCTACTAAAAATACAAAAATTATCCTGATGTGGTAGTGCACGCCTATAGTTCCAGCTATTTGGGAGATTGAGGCAGGAGAATTGCTTGAACCCAGGAAGCGGAGGTTGCAGTGAGCGGATATTGCACCATTGCACTCCAGCCTGGGCAACAGAGCAAGACTCCATCTAAAAAATTGCAATGCAATGCATAACATAACTAAAAAAATATTGAAAGAGAAAATATCAAGAGAACTTTCTTTTTTTTGAGACAGAGTTTGGCTCTTGTTACCCAGGCTGGAGTGCAGTGGGGCGATCTCGGCTCACCGCAACCTCCGCCTCCTGGGTTCAAGCAATTCTCCTGCCTCAGCCTCCTGAGTAGCTGGGATTACAGGCTCGTGCTACCATGCCCAACTAATTTTTTGATTTTTAGTAGAGACGGGGTTTCACCATGTTGACCAGGATGGTCTCGATCTCTTGACCTCATGATCCACCCGCCTTGGCCTCTTAAAGTGCTGGGATTACAGGCTTGAGCCACTGCACCCGGCCAAGGGAACATTTTTTATCAGCCCTGCCCTGGATGGCTTTCTGCTTGCTCAGCTGTTGAGGTGGCTTTGGGCTCTGTGGATCTTGGGTTTCCTAACCAGTTCTCCTGCTTCCAGGGCCGAGACTTCCCCTTTGAGGACTGTGGCAGGGCCTTCACCTGCCTCCCTGTGGAGAACCCCCAGGCCCCTGTGGAAGCCTTGGTCTGCAACCTGGACAGTCTGCTGGACATCATGACCTATCGGGTGAGGCTGGGCGGTGGCCTGTGGGGCCTCATCCTAAATAGAGCCACTTCCTTCCCACTGTTCCCCCAGCTATAACCTATACTGGCTTAGCTGGGGACCCCAGTAGGAATGGTTTTGAGAGTGCCTAGTGTTAGTTAAGAGCTTCAAGAAGTTAATTCTGTCTGGGGGCAGTGGCTCATGCCTGAAATTTCAGCACTTTGGGAGGCCAAGGTGGGAGGATCACGTGAGGTCAAGAGTTCAAGACCAGCCTGGGCAATGCAGTAAGACCTCACCTCTACAAAAATTAAAAAAAAAAATTAGCTGGCCATGGTGGCATGCACCTGTAGTCCCAGTTACTCATGAGGCTGAGGCAGGAAGATCACTTGAGCCCAGGAGTTTGAGGCTGCAGTGAGGTATGATCGCACCATTGCACTCCAGCCTGGGTGACCTTGTCTCAACAACAACAAAAAATTAGTCTTGGCCACATGGGGGGCATTGTAGCGCCAGGCTGGACAGAGGGTGGGGGCAGACCAGGTCTTGGAGGCCCCTGTTATGTCAACAGCACAGTATCCCAGGGCAAGGAGGGGCAGGTGAAGGGCTGGGCCAGGCACCAGCTGTGTTCTCTGTCTCTGCAGCTGGGCCCGGGCTCCCCGCCAGGCGTGTGGGTCTGCAGCACCGACATGCTGCTGTCTGTTCCTGAAAATCCCGGTGAGCCTGAGACTCCCTGGGACCACCTTCCCTCGTCTCAGCCACAGCAAGAAGCCAGCTCTGCCTTTGTCGCCCACCCTGCCTCTGGGCCTGCCCTGCTGCCCTGTTAGAAGGGTAGCTGGAGGGTGTGGAGAATGAAGCCCTGAGAAGGCGGGGGTTCTCCTGCCTTGCCTCAGTCTGCCTGTCTGTAGGACGGACAGAAGCAGTCCTGCCCCTTCTGCCCACAGGGCTCTGCGGAAGGACTCTGGGAGAGGAGGGTGGGCATTCTCCCAGGGGAATGTCCATTTGGCTTGGAAACCATATTTCCCTTTTAGAGGTGCCCAGGTGCCCCAGCCCTGGGCTCTGGCTTCCTCCTGGAGGGGGACTCCCTGCCTTGGGTGGAGGCCCCTGGGAGCCTCCTGACTGCCCCACCCCACAGGGATCAGCTGGGACAGCTTCCGGGGAGCCAGAGTGATCGCCCTCCCAGGGAGCCCGGCCTACGCTCGGAATCATGGCGTCTACCTCACTGACCCCCAGGTAGTGCCCCTGCGGGCAGCGGAGCCGGCCGGGGCAGCCTTCAGCCTTCCCCCGTCACTGGGCAGCCTCTCATCCTGGATTTTCTCGCATGCCCCTGAATCCAGCGAGTTTCCTCTGTAATAATGGCGCCGGTGCTCCCTTACTCTCACCAAAAATACATTTCACACTGACTGCCTGCCCTGTCTCGATGCCTGGGCTCAGGGCTGCAAAGACATTTAAAGCCTGCCCTCTGCCATCACGGAGTAGAAATCTCAGGCCCCCTGAGAACACCAGCGACTGCCAGACTTGCATCCTCAGCTTTCCTTTGGAGGACGCCCTTGCTGCCACCTGTGGCTGTGCCCTCCTTCCAGATCCCTTCCTGCCCGCTCCACTCACTCTGTTTCTCCCCGCACATAGGGCCTCGTTTTGGACATTTACTACCAGGGCACTGAGAGGGAGATTCAGCGGTGTGTCAGGCCTGATGGGCAGGTGCCACTGGTATGGCTGCTGGGCCCAGGTTGCGGGGCTTTGGGGACCTTATGGGACAGGGAGGGAGGGTTTGCCTTTTGACTCCTAGAAGCCTGCAGAACAAGCTAGAGCTAGAATCTGAGGACAGAGTAGCCTTGGAATTCAGGGTGTTGTTCTGAACCAGAAAGCCTAGAACCAGGCTGGGCACGGTGGCTCATGACTGTAATCCCAGCACTTTGAGAGGCTGAGGCAGGTGGGTCATCTGAGGTCAGGAGTTTGGGAGCAGCCTGGGCAACATGGTGAAACGCTGTCTCTACTAAGAATACAACAGTTAGCTGGGTGTAGTGGTGTGCACCTGTAATCTCAACTACTTGGGAGGCAGAGGCTTGAGAATTGCTTGAACCCAGGAAGTGGAGGTTGCAGCGAGTGGAGATCGTGCCACTGCACTCCAGCCAGGGTGACAGAGCAAGACTCTGAATCAACCCCCCAACCTGCCAAAACAAAACAAAAAACTGTGAGCAAGTCAGGGAGTGCGGTGGTGGTTGGAGGAGGTTAGAGCCCAACTCAGGACTGCTTCCAGCACGAGGGGCAAGGATTGGAGAGGCGGGGAAATCTGGGAGTGGACCACAGTGAGAGTAGAGAGCTGGGGTCAGGAGAAGGCCTGAAAGTTGAGGGGGTCCCATAAGGTGCCTTGGTGGGAGTTGCCCCAAGTAATCCTGGAGTCTGGGTGCTGGAGTGGTCAGAAGGCGACACTCCCTGCCTGGTGTGGCACCCAGCTTCACGTGGCCCGTCTGCATGTGCCTTCCTGAACTTATAGCAGGGTTTGGTCCAGAACCTCCCTCTCCGATCCTTTTGGGGTCCCTTCCAGGTGTCTGGGGTTGTCTTCTTCTCTGTGGAGACTGCTGAGTGCCTCCTAGCCACCCATGTGAGCCCGCCCCTGGATGCCTGCACCTACCTGGGCTTGGACTCTGGAGCCCGCCCTGTTCAGGTGACTGGGGGAGGGCAGCTAGTGGGACCTGGCCTGGGGACAAGGCGTTGTATGACCTCAGGCCAGCCACTTCGCCTCTCCAGGGTAGAATCTCTGCAGATGGGACTGCCCTGGCTCAGCCTCAGAACTTGAGGGCTGAACCCCTGCTGTGCCAATAGCTGTGCTTCTTCCCCTTCCCCCAGCTGTCTCTGTTTTTTGACATTCTGCTCTGCATGGCTGAGAACGTGACCAGGGAGGACTTCCTGGTGGGGCGACCCCCAGAGTTGGGGCAAGGTGATGCGGATGTAGCGGGTTATCTGCAGAGCGCCCGGGCCCAGCTGTGGAGGGAGCTTCGCGATCAGCCCCTTACCATGGGTGGGTACTGCTTCTCAGCTCCCTGGGGTGGGGAGACCATGGGAGTGAAGACCCCAAGAATGGAGCTGCTCACTGCATGCTGGGCCAGGCAGCCCAGCGCAGGGACTGGGCAGTTCTCCTGACCTGTGCTGGAGCCCCCCACTGAGCTGCCTCCTTGTCTTCCTTTTGTCTCATTCCTGGGCTCTCCCAGCCTGTCCACTTTTTTTTTTTAAGCGATCCTCTACACTGTATACTTTTTTTTTTTTTTTTTTTTGAGATGGAGTCTGGCTCTGTCGCCCAGGCTGGAGTGCTGTGGTGCTATCTCAGCTCACTGCAACCTCTACCTCCCCGGTTCAAGCAATTCTCCTGCCTCAGCCTCCTAAGTAGCCGGGATAACAGCTGTGTACCACCACACCTGGCTAATTCTTGTATTTGTAGTAGAGATGGGGTTTCACCACATTGGTCAGGCTGGTCTCGAACTCCTGGCTCCAGGTGATCCGCCTGCCTTGGTCTTCCAAAGTGCTGGGATTACAGGCATAAGCCACCACGCCCGGCCCTAACCTGTCTACTTTTTAGCTGTGTGGCTTTGGGCAGGTTCCTGACTCAGCTTCCCCTAACCAGCTCATCGCCACGCCTGCCCCCATGTGTCTCTGCTGCTGGGAAGCCGGCCTGGCCCGAGTTGCAGCAGGAATGGGGTTGAGGTCAGTACTTATGTCTTTACAGCCTATGTCTCCAGCGGCAGCTACAGCTATATGACCTCCTCAGCCAGTGACTTCCTGCACAGCCTCACACTCCCCAGGGCCCTTGGGGCCCAGATTGTGCACTCCCAGGTGGAGGTGAGACTCTCTGGCCCTCCAGTGCCTGCTGGGTACCTGGGGTCAGGTGGGATGTAGATTTCTGGGAAGAGAATAGGTCACGCTTGGAACAGATGACCCGAGTGCAGGTGTTACCCCTGTTTCACACATGAAGTACTGGAGGCTCAGAGAGGCTAAGTAACTCACCTAAGGCCACAGAGCCAGTCAGTGGCCAAGTCAGGATTCTGGATCGAGCATGCCTGATTGAGAAGCTAAAGGAGACCTTTCTTCGGGGTCTTCCTGGGGAGACAGTGGTGGGCCTGGGTCAGTTCAAAGGTGGCCCTCTGGATGGCAAGGTTGGGCGTAGCTGGACAGATGGGATGGAAATAGACCTCAGGCTGGGGCCAAGGTAGGTCCAGAGAGGAGTCTAGAGGGTGCAAGGCAGGGGAGCCACAGGCCTGGATGCTTTACATGCAGATGCTTGGTGGGAGGAGGGTTGGAGCAAGCCTGGCCCTTGAACCTCACTCCCTTCCTTCCCTGCTACACAGGAGCAGCAGCTCCTGGCGGCTGGGAGCTCTGTGGTCAGCTGCCTGCTGGAGGGCCATGTCCAGCTGGGTCCTGGGAGTGTCCTGCAGCACTGCCACCTGCGGGTAAGGTCTGAGGGTGTGGGCAGATCGGGATGAGGGCGCTGGTGTCCTGTGTGTGTTGGGGGGTGCTGGGTGCCTACCCACCCAGGATGCCTGCTCTGTCCCCCGCCAGGGCCCTGTTCACATAGGCGCTGGCTGCTTGGTGAGTGGCCTGGACGAAGCCCAGTCTGAGGCCCTGCATGCCTGGGAGCTGCATGACCTTGTCCTGCAGGGACACCATATACGGCTACATGGCTCCCCAGGCCGTGCCTTCACCCTCGTTGGCCGTCTGGACAGCTGGGAGGTAGGCACTCGCCCTTCATTCCTTCAGGCTTTGGGGAGTCCCAGGGAGTCCTGGCCCCCACCCCAGTGCAGGGTTCTCTGAGCACTGGCGCATGGGACAGGATGTGGGGAGGGGGAGGGTCGGTTGTAGGGAGGAGAGGATATGGGAAGGAGGTAGGGTGAGGATAGGCCGTGAGACCAGCAGCATCTCCATAGGCCTTTACCTCCCTGCTTGCATCTGCTCTGCCAGGTGGGCTGGGTGGGGACTTTGTTTTTTTTCTGGAGCTGGAGTCTTGCTCTATCACCTAGGCTGGAGTGCAGTGGCCCAATCTCAGCTCACTGCAACCTCTGCCTCCCAGGTTCAAGCAATTCTCCTGCCTCAGCCTCCTGAGTAGCTGGGATGACCAGTGTGCACCACCATGCCTGGCTAATTTTTTGTATTTGTAGTACATGTTGGCCAGGCTGGTTGGGTGGGGATTTTTATCCCCATTTGACAGGCTAGAGACAAGGTGACCCACCTTGGGCTACAGCCTGTTGTGGTGGGCTGGGCCTGGAACCCAGGGTTTTGCTCCAGATTTCAGGCACCTCAGCAGGAGTGTTGGTGGGCTGTAGAGCTAAAAGCAGTTTCAGAACTTGCTCCCTGGCTGGATATAGTGGCTCAGGCCTGTAATCCTAGCACTCTGGGAGGCTGAGGTGGGAGGATCTCTTGAGGCCAGGAGTTTATACCTGCAGTGAGCTATGACTGCACCACTGCACTCCAGCCTGGGTGGGTCGAGTATGTCCTATGTCTGTCTTCCTGCCCTCACTTGAGCACTTGAGCAGCTCCCGGCCCCCTGTCTTAGTGTCTCTAACCCCTGTGGCCCCTTAAGCCCTGACTGCTTCTTCCTCTTCCCCCAGAGACACGGGGCAGGCACGTATCTCAACATGCCCTGGCGTGAATTCTTCAAGAGGACAGGTGTTCGGTAAGCTGGGTACCCTGAGGGCCTCTGTGGGCCTGGGCAGCTGGGGTGACTGCTGCTCTTCCAGGCATGTCCTTCTCGTGGCCCGGAGCAGCACCGGCCCTGCTACCATCCAGGGGCCTGGGTTGTTTTATGCAGCTAGATTTTTCCCCTAGGCAGAAAGTCAGTCTCTGGCTGTGCCGACTTTAGCATTCTTGTTCAGTGGTCTGGGAAAGGACGCAAGGGAGCCTGGCCCCTGACCCGAACTGTCCACTTGTGCTACCTCGGAGAAGTCTGTCCTGTCCCACGAACTGATGGGTGACTCAGGGCTTGGGGAGGACACTGGAGCCTTTGCTTCTCTCCCCCGAATGTGCCTTCTCCCCACATTAGAGCCTTGGACCTGTGGGACCCTGACACACCACCTGCAGAGTGCTGCCTTCCCAGCGCCCGCCTCTTTCCTGTGCTCCACCCCTCGAGGGCCCTGGGGCCCCAGGAGCTACTGTGGATGCTGGATCCCCAGGAGGATGGGGGCGAGGCCCTGCGAGCCTGGCGAGCCTCCTGGCGCCTATCCTGGGAGCAGCTGCAGCCGTGCCTGGATCGAGCTGCCACACTGGCCTCTCGCCGGGACCTGTTCTTCCGCCAGGCCCTGCATAAGGCTCGGCACGTGCTGGAGGCCCGGCATGACCTCAGCCTGCGCCCGCTGATCCGGGCTGCTGTCCGTGAGGGCTGCCCTGGGCCCTTGCTGGCCACGCTGGACCAGGGTGAGTCTATGGGCAGGTAATGCTGCAGAATCAAGCCAGGGGCACCTGACCTCCCTGTCTTCTGAGCCATCCCCTGAGGGGACTAGGTGGCCATGAGGTGCTTAAGCAGGGAAGGGGCATGCCAGAGTTTACCTTTAGGATTGTGGAAGGCCTCATTCTTGTTAGCTGGGTTTGGTCAAAAGTTGAGGGCTAGCAGCTGAGCTCTAGGTCCTGGGCACGTCAGCAAACCCTACATGTTCTGTACCTGGTGCCAGGATGTGGGTGCAGAGTGTGGGGAGGGGACAGAGTTCCCCAGGGGACGTGGTCAGCTCTGCATGAGGTCCCAGGCACACTGCTGGGGGCTCACAGTCTTAGCCTCCTGGGCTGCACCTCATGAAAGGTGCCAGGACCATGGACACCAGAGCCACACAGATAGCTGGTGGTGAGGCTGAGACCTGAGCCCAGGTGGTTTGACCCCAGAGCCCGAGCTCTTCACCACTATGGGTATCCTGGGTGGGGGTAAAGAGACACCTATGGGCTGGGACTGGCAAGATGAGAGAATCTCTGCCAGGCAGGGAGTAGGGCTGTAGCTACAGTCAAAGATACATTTTGGGGCCGAGTGCGGTGGCTCAAGCCTGTAATCCCAGCACTTTCGGAGGCCGAGGCAGGTGGATCACGAGGTCAAGAGATTGAGACCATCCTGGCCAACATGGTGAAACCCGATCTCTACTAAAACTACAAAAATTCTTGATTTGCAGTAGCTTTGAAAAAAAAAAAAAATTAGCTGGGCGTGGTGGCATGCGCCTGTAATCCCAGCTACTAGGAGGCTGAGGCAGGAGAATTGCTTAAACCTGTGAAGCGGAGATTGCAGTGAGCTGAGATCGCGCCACTGCACTCCAGCCTGGTGACAGAATGAGACTCCTTGTCAAAAAAAAAAGAAAAAAAAAAAGATACATTATGGGCTGGGCATGGTGGCTCATGCTTGTAATCCTTGCTCTTTGGGAGGCTGTGGCAGGCGGATCGCGAGGTCAGGAGACGAAGACCATCCTGGCCAACATGGTGAAACCCTTTCTCTACTAAAAATACAAAAATTAGTGGGGTGTGGTAGCGTGCACCTCTACTACCAGCTTCTTGGGAGGCTGTGGTAGGAGAATCACTTGAACCCAGGAGGCAGAGGTTGTAGTGAGCTGAGATCAAGCCACTGCACTCCAGCCTGGTGACAGAGCAAGCAAGACTCCATCTAAAAAAAAAAAGATACATTGTGGGCAAAAGCCAGGAGGTGTGAGGGGCCTGGAGCCTTTAGGGACTGCTGAGTAGTCTCTCGGGGCAGAGGACAGGCCTCCTCCCCTGCCACCCCTGACTCCTGGTCCCTCAGTTGCAGCTGGGGCAGGAGACCCTGGTGTGGCGGCACGGGCACTGGCCTGTGTTGCGGATGTCCTGGGCTGCATGGCTGAGGGCCGTGGGGGCTTGCGGAGTGGGCCAGCTGCCAACCCTGAGTGGATGCGGCCCTTCTCATACCTGGAGTGTGGAGACCTGGCAGCGGGCGTGGAGGCACTTGCCCAAGAGAGGGACAAGTGGCTAAGCAGGTGGGTTTGCTAATAGATCCCTTGGAGAAGCCCCTGGCCATCTGGGAAGTGGCCCTTGATGGAGGAAGCCCAGAGAGAGGTGGGGTACCCTCGAGTCACCCAGGACAGTCAGGACCACAAAGCCAGGTAATCTGCCCCCAGCTTGGGGCTGCCTGCCGCCATCCCTCCCTTTCCTCTTGGCAGGCCAGCCTTGCTGGTACGAGCGGCCCGGCACTATGAGGGGGCTGGGCAGATCCTGATCCGCCAGGCCGTGATGTCAGCCCAGCACTTTGTCTCCACGGAGCCGGTGGAGCTGCCAGGACCTGGGCAATGGGTGGTGGCTGAGTGCCCAGCCCGTGTGGATTTCTCTGGTGAGCCCTTTGTGGCAGGTGGGGGTGAGGGTAGCTGCACCACAGCCAGGCTGGCAGCTTCTGTGACCAGCTTGAGTCTTGCCACACCATCATAGGGGGCTGGAGTGACACGCCACCCCTTGCCTACGAGCTTGGTGGGGCTGTGCTGGGCCTGGCTGTGCGAGTGGATGGCCGCCGGCCCATCGGGGCCAGGGCACGCCGCATCCTGGAGCCTGAGCTGTGGCTGGCAGTGGGGCCTCAGCAGGATGAGATGACTGTGAAGATAGTGTGCCGGAGCCTGGCTGACCTGCGGGACTACTGCCAGCCCCATGCCCCAGGTCAGGCACCCCGGGACCTCTGCAGGTGGGCTGGCACACGTAGCCAGCTGGGGGCTGGGGACAGAAGCGAGAGACTACAGGCCACTGGGGCCTGACCTGAGGGCCACCTAGTCTGGGTGAGGAGCCTGAATGGAAGGAAGGGGCTAGGAGTCACCCTGCCTAGACACTTACAGAGGAAGTAGAGATGACACATGTGTCCATGTCTGGGAGTCCAGAGGCCCTTTTATGGCTTGGGGATGGGACCAGCATTGCTGCTGGGCTTTCTTCCCATCGGATGAGTCCCACACTGGGCTGGGAAATCACAAGGGTGGGTGGGGTGTCTGCATCTGCCCTTGGAGACCGAATTCCTCTCATGCCTGTCCATCTGCAGGGGCTCTGCTGAAGGCGGCCTTCATCTGCGCGGGGATTGTGGATGTCCACTCTGAGCTCCAGCTGCGTAAGCAGCTGCTCCGCACCTTCGGGGGTGGCTTTGAGCTGCACACCTGGTCTGAGCTTCCCCACGGCTCTGGCCTAGGTGAGCGGGCCCTCCCTCCTGCTGCCCACCGACTGTCACAGCACTCCAGCCTTGCCTGTGATCTCCCTCCCTGGCCTCTGCCCTGAGAGGGAGTCAGGCAGGACTAGACAGGGTGGAGGCATTTCATGCCTGCTTTCTCCTCTGCGCCCTGCAGGCACCAGCAGCATCCTGGCAGGCACTGCCCTGGCTGCCTTGCAGCGAGCCGCGGGCCGGGTGGTTGGCACGGAGGCCCTGATCCACGCAGTGCTGCACCTGGAGCAGGTGCTCACCACTGGTATGTGACTGCCTTGGAGCTGGGGGAGGTCACTGACACTTTCCCTAGGGCCTGTGGTGGGAAGTGGAGCTCTCCTGGATTTATATGTGATTGGCCAACAGCCAGATGACTGTGCTACTCTTTACAAATTTCCTTCTTGTCACTTTGACCACCTCTGGTGGTTGTCAACTTGAAATATTCTACCTCCAACGAGGTGTTTCACGAGCACCTACTGAGTGCCAGATTCTGTGCTGTGCCTTTCATGCTTGTTGGGACCAGGTGCTGTGCTTCGTGACTGTGCCTATCCAGGGCTGTGCTTGGGTGGGGCTGGCAAGCTGGTTTGGACCTTCCACCTGCCCTTCTGGCATCATGCCATTATTTGAGATAAAATCACTGGTGCCCCTGCCCCCACCTCCTGGCCATATGGTGGTACAGCAAGAGCCCAGCAGTGACTGTGATCTCATGAATGTCACCAGCACCAGGCTTCCCGCTCTTCCTGGCCATGGAGCCCCCTGGAATCCATGGCCAATGTAGAGCAGCCACAGGCTTATATGGTTCCAGGTGCATCTCAGGGTGTCAGGCCCCATCTCTAACACACCCCTGGAAGGAAACTGCTGCAAAGGCCTACTGGAGCCTGACTGTGGTGTCTTCTGTCACTGCAGCTCAGGCCTCTCATTTTGCTGCAGTGACTCACATACCATCATAGTTAGTCTGTGAAAGGAGCAGATGGGGAAGCCTTTTCAGTTTTCTTTTGAGGTATACCATTCAAGTTCTACATCTGGCCAACGGACAACTATTTATTGAGAACCCATTCTGTGGGTCCCTGAGGATAAAATGAGCAAAAATGGGTTCCTGCCCTCGAAAGTCCTGTGGTCTCCTGGAGACAGACATCAACCAGTAACTACTCAGGTGCATGTGTATTACAAACTGTGCTCTGAAGCAGAGGGGAACCGTTAAGTCTTGACATTTCAAGACTTAACAGCTACTTTGCAGCCACCAGGTTTTGGCTGCAAAGTTCCAGATGGCTCCTGCCTTTTGCATTTCATACTTTAAACCCTTGCAGGCCCTTCCCTAAATATCAATGGCCTGTCCCATAAGCAGCTCAAGTTTTTTATTTTTTGTTTTTGAGACAGAGTCTAGCTCTGTCACCCAGGCTGGAGTACAGTGGCATGATCTCAGCTCACTGCAGCCTCCACCTCACAGGTTTAAGCAATTCTCTTGCCTCAGCCACCAGAGTAGCTGGGATTACAGGCACCTGCCACCATGCCCAGCTTTTTCTTTTTTTTTGTAGATGTGGGGTTTCACTGTGTTGGCCAGGATGGTCTCGAACTCCTGAGCTCATGATCTGCCCACCTTAGCCTCCCAAAGTGCTGGGATTACAAGTGTGAGCCACTGTGCCCTGCCTAGTTTTGTTATTTTTATATAGCTACAAGGGGGAAAATGATACATACTTTCATTACTGAAGATGGAAAGATGTCTAATAAGTTACATAAGAGAAAAATAGATCCCAACGAGCTTCTTTTCAACATAAACCACCTGTAAGAAGACAGGGTGCAGGGAGACTCAGGCTACAGGGAAGGTACTTGTCAGCCTCTCCTCTAAAACTCCCCTAGGAGGGGCAGAGGTTAGTGTAAAATCTTTTTTTTTTTTTTTTTTTGAGACAGAGTCTCATGCTGTCACCGAGGCTGGAGTGCAGTGGTATGATCTCAGCTCACTGCAACCTCTGCCTCAGTCTCCCAAGAAGCTGGGATTACAGGGTGTGTGCCACCATGCCTGGCTAATTTTTATAATTTTGGTAGAGATGGGATTTCACCATGTTGGCCAGGCTGGTCTTGAACTCCTGACGTCAAGTGATCTGCCTGCCTTAGCCTCCCAAAGTGCTGTGATTATAGGCATGAGCCACTGCACCCGACCATAGTGTAAAATCTTTACCCTTCAATGTGGTTTATCCCAATTTCAATTACACATTAGGTCTACAACAAAACTCAGGCCTTGGGAATTCCAAGCTTTGCTCTGGTGTGAAGCCCATTCCTTTGCTGGGATTGTCCTGGGGACAGAGCTGTGTAGCTCACTGTCCCATGGAGTTGAGGGAAGCTCTTTCCACACTGATCCCAGCCAGGGGTACAGGGCCGGGAGCCTAGGCTGGGAGAGTGAAGCTGGGCCAGGTAGACTCCAACAGTGACACGTCCTGGGCTCACAGGAGGTGGCTGGCAGGATCAAGTGGGTGGCCTAATGCCTGGCATCAAGGTGGGGCGCTCCCGAGCTCAGCTGCCGCTGAAAGTGGAGGTGGAAGAGGTCACGGTGCCTGAGGGCTTTGTCCAGAAGCTCAATGACCACCTGCTCTTGGTGTACACTGGCAAGACCCGCCTTGCTCGGAATCTGCTACAGGTGAGCCCCAGCCCCACCATGAGGGAGGTAGGGAGGGGGGCCACCGGCTGGGCCTGGGTCCTCACTGCCCCTTCTGCCCTGTCTGCAGGATGTGCTGAGGAGCTGGTATGCCCGACTGCCTGCCGTGGTGGAGAATGCCCACAGTCTGGTGCAGCAAACCGAGGAGTGTGCTGAAGCCTTCCGCCAAGGTGAGGGGCTCCTTCCAGGGGGATCAGGGCACCAGGAGCCAGTACCCTGTCACTTGTGGGTTTGAGGCCAGGGTCATTTGCAGGCTTGGCACAAGCTCCAGATACTCAGCCTCTGGGAACAGAAGCCTACTGTCTATCCTCTCCAGGGTCTCACAATCAGGGGGAAGTCACATCTAAGGACAAAATTTTCATCATGGGAAAGGCCCTCTAGCCCCACCTAACAGGAAGCAGATAGGGGAAGGGACTTACCCCATGGCTGAGTTCCAGGGAAGTGTGAGCTAGGCAGGGTCCCCAGTCTGTGGCTTCACAGCTCTCTGGGTGCGGGTGATGCTGGGTGTGGTGGTTTGCTTCCTGCACATTGGTCCTCAGGCAGTTCTGGGAAGTGGGCTTGCTTCTTCTGGCTCCAGCCAGCACTGGAACCTGGCTTCTTTACCATGACACTGGCTCAGCAGCACCTCTTGGCACTTCACGCAATCTCCAGATGGGTTCTGAGTGAGTATCTTGGCCCAGGCACGCCACTTCCCTCTGTCCCACCTCAGGAAGCCTGCCTCTGCTGGGGCAGTGCCTGACCTCATACTGGGAACAGAAGAAGCTCATGGCTCCAGGCTGTGAGCCCCTGGCTGTGCGGCGTATGATGGATGTCCTGGCCCCCCACGTGCATGGCCAGAGCCTGGCTGGGGCAGGTGGTGGAGGCTTTCTCTATCTGTTGACCAAGGAGCCACAGCAAAAGGAGACCTTGGAGGCTGTGCTGGCCAAGACCGAGGTACTACTGATGGGGTTGGGGTTGGCCCAGAGACCTATGAGGGCAAGAGATCTCACTGTGGCCCACTAATTATCCAGGGGCTATATCTGCAAGTCTCCCTGGTCCTGTAGCCTCAGTCCAGCCTCCAGAAGGCCTGATCTTTCTGCAGAACCTTCTAAACACTTGCTCTCCTGTCCAGGGCCTTGGGAATTACAGCATCCACCTGGTTGAAGTGGACACTCAGGGCCTGAGCCTGAAGCTGCTGGGGACCGAGGCCTCAACCTGTTGCCCTTTCCCATGAAGCTGGCTTCTCACTGCAAGAAGAGAAAACCTGGAGCTACAGTGTCCCCCACCTTCCTTACCCCACGAGAACCTCCACCTCCCACTCTCCATCCACCTCTGTGAATCCGCTCCCAAAGGAAGCTGACTGAAGCAAGACCTGGGCAAGCAGAGTGCTTGGGACAAGACTGTGACCTGGCTGACAGTGGCCTAGGTGTAGCCTGTTCCTCTTACATATAAGAAGGTCCCAAGCTTAGTGTCCCATGTGGCCTTTACAAATCCCATGGGTGGCCTTCTCATTCCACGAGGGCCCGGGAAAGGGTTGACCTCCAGCCTTGGCCTATGGCTGGAAGTCCCTTGGCAAGGCCAACCCTGAAGAGGCCCTTCGAGGCATTTTCTATGGCCTTCCTTAGAGTTGTAGAGACTTCACGCTCAACCCTCATGGGCAAATGGAAATGAGGGTGGTGGTCCTTTGCCAAGTTGGTGGCAGTGACCCAGCGATTCACTGCCATCCCAGGCCTTAACCAGCAACACTACGGACCGTGCCAAGTGACCTGGTGCCTGTGGGAAGTGGGTTCTCAGGACTGGCATTCTTGGAATAAATTCACTCTGTCCTTGTAGGTGGTCCTCGTAAAGTCACTTTGGCTCCTGCTGGGAGCAGTTCCCTTTCCCTAGCACCATGGGGAACTGACTCTGGAATGATCCAGCTTGTGGTGCTGAGGGCCCAAGAGGACCTTGAGGATCTGGGACTGGATGGGGTCTCCTGCCATCATGTGGGGCCTGGACACAGCTGTGCACTGTGCTGTGTGTGGGGAGGAGGCTGAGGTCTTGGGTTTGCCTTCCTATTCCAGTGCTACTGGTAGACCTGCCCTGCCCATAGGATCTGGTCCTCCCTGGAAACGGCACACTGGCATCTCTTCAAGGAGTAGCTTTATTCAGGGATCATAAACATCACAGCCTTGCCTCGAAGTCAAGCCTAATTGCTAGGTCCCCAGATGGACCCAAGTTGTCTAAGGCTGGCAGGGGCAGCTTGTTTGCTGTAGCATTTGAGGGCAAGAGACTGACCACCCATGCAGAAAGCCAGCCTGGGCTGCCTGCTGCTGCCTGCCATGACTTTCTCACCTCATTAGGAGCCCAATTCTCTGGGTGGGGAAAGACCGCCCCGAATGCCTCGCCAGGCTAGGTCTGAGGGCAGAGCATGGAGTGAGTCCAGGCTGTCTCTGCTGCCACCTGTAGAAAGGTCTGGGCTGTCAGAGCTCCTCCAAGGCAAACAGCCTCGTTCAGCTCCTTGGCTGGGGCCCCTTAGGGAACAGGCTCAGAATTGTGATGAGCTAGGTGTGCTCATCCAGGCAGCTACAGGCGCAGCCTCTTGATGTCTTCACTGCGGAAGTCTATGCGCAGGGCCAGCACCTGGCGCACTTCAGCAGGGGTGAGACGCCACGTCAATGGGCCGGAGTTGGGTCCCCAGTAATCAAGGATCTCCGTCACCTGTGGGGAAGGACAGAGAGACCAGTCGGCAAGATGGGGCTATTCTGAAAGAAGGCTCTGGCCTCTACCAGGGGCAGAACAAGAGCACTCAAGAAGGGGAAGGTGTCCTACAGAGCTGGCTGCTGGCAGATACACGATTTAGAGGGAAGTGGCAGGGATCCATCTTTGCCTCTTTCAGTCACCCCTCCCTGGCTGGGCCAAGGGCGCCCCACCTACCCGCTCCAGATTGAGGATGGTGGCCATCTGAGAGAGCCGGGCAAATTTGTCTCGGATGGTCCAGGTGGTCACCGTGGTAAGGTAGGCAATGAGTGACCTCAGCTCCTTGTCAAATTGCAGACCGCCCAGCTGCAGGAGAACCCAAGTCCAGTCACTACTTAGGCCCGGCCAAGCAGAACTGGCCTCCAATTGCCCCCAGAGCTGGGTGGCAAGGCCGGCCAGGTCTCAGGTGCCCTGTGGTTCCAGTTTGCTCTAAGGCCTCAGAAGCCAGGGCAGGACTAGACCCAGACGTGCAGGGCAGCAGACAGTGGGGACACAAATCCTGGGTGGTGGCATGACTTGTCTTCCTCAGAGGAGAAACGAGAGCTGCAGACCCATGACCCCTTCACCTTACCCGGTTAAAGGTGGATTTCAGCACCACTTTCTCCAACTCCACGGCAACAAGGCTGGTCATGAGGCCGGTTAGGCTGTCGTAGATGACTGGGGACAGGCTGGCCTGCACACAGAGGCTTGACATCAGCCAATCCCCACCTAACCCCTCTGCCTCTCCACTGGAGTCTTTGGGGGTGAGGACAGTTATGTGAGGCCACAGGGGAGTGTTTCTATAGGTTAGGGTTGGAAGGGCTTTCAGGGTCTCCAGAAGGAATGTGATGAGACCCTGCAGGCTGCTGGTTTGGGCAGAGGTGGGTAATTACCTAAGTGGATCCCTAGGGCCCCTGCTCACCTTGAACTCTGCCATTTGCTGCTCCAGGTTAAGGATGAACTGTTGTACCCAAGGGTCGTTGGCCTCATAGTCATTGAATTCTTCCTGTTGTCAGGAAGCAGGGTTGGTCACCACAGGCCCCTACGAAGTACCATTCGCTGCCACCCACCTCTACCCCATTAAGAAAATAAGGTAAGACGTTCTTCCTTCCCTGTGCCTTCTGACTCATCTAGTTTAAAACCAGCTCAGACACCCAGACTGGCAGAAACTGACCAGCAAACAGCTCAAGGCTGCAGCAGTGGCCCACATAATGGCTGAAGTTCCTGGCATTTTATTCCTTCTTGGATCTCATGTTCTATAGGAATGAAATCACTAGGCCAGGAGGAAAAAATGCTCCTAAGTCTATCATAAGTAGGGCAAAAAGAGCTCCAATACAAGAGAATGAGTTAGGTCAAGGCAAACTCCTTATCTTTCTGAGCTCTTCTGACTAGGGACAAATTGCTTCCTGGGAGGAACCTAGTGTTCAAGGGTGAGGGTCGGGGAAGTGGGCCTGGGAGGCATGGAAGATCTAGTCTGTTCCTGGCTCCATTCCCTCCAGCTGGAGATGGGGGTGAGGGGTCATCAGGCTGGATGGCTGCCTGTGGCCAGGCTGACCTCCTCGATGTTATGAGAGACGGAGAAAAAGCTGTTAATCCAAGGCTGCACCTGTGGCTTGATGGCTGTGCTGTTAAGCTCCGTGAGCCCTTCCTGCACAAGGACAAGGTGGAGACATGTCAGACACAGCAGGCACACCCCATTCCTTCCCTCTCTCTTCTACCCATCCCTTGATTGCAAGGCGTTCTTCCAGCCCTGAGGCTTTCTGCAGGTCCTGTTAGAGGTTGTAACAGAGCTAGTGCTAATGAAAGGAGGACCCAGGAACATGCCCCTCTCCAGATCTCAGCTGATTCAGGCCCAGGGTGAAGATGAGGCCTTGAGGCTGTTCTGGTAAACTCTCAAGAGAAATTTCGGAGTGCCCAGTGCTAGGCTATGGCCACAGGTCAGAACCATGTGGCTCCACTTCCTCTGAGCATTTTCTAAGGGCTCCTGACATGTGGGGCCAAGCGGAAAGTCTAGAGGAACCAGATGGTGGCTTGTCAGTGTGACAACTTCACTGATGAAAAACCAACAGGGCCTTTAGTCTCAAGGGACCGTACAACTCCAAACTCCAGGGCTTGCTGGCTGCCCCCTCACCCGTCCTCCTGGCTTCTTTGCACACGATGAGCCAGCTAACACTCTTCTTAGAGCAATGTACAGGCACAGGATTCAGTTAGCAGTTGAACCTGGGGCTTACCTGCAAGAGGTCTCGGAATTTGCTGGACACGGCGGCCAAGTCAGAAAGACAGCTGTCAAACTTGGCCTTGGCCTGCTCCCCTCCAATGCCCTGGCTGAAGAGCTTGGTGCAGTCACTCTAGGGGATAACACTGCTGTAAGACCACTGAGCACACGTGGGCCATGGGAGTGTGAGGAGAGGCAGAGAGGAGGTCAATATGCCACCAGCTAGTTCTACTCCTCCAGCCTTCTCTGGGCACAGCTATGGCCTATTGAGAGCCCTGGATGGGTTTCAGGTTTCAGAAAACATGAATTCTCTCCTGATGGCTATCCACTCGGCTCCCACTGCCCCCTCTGTAATATGTGGGTGCCAGTGTCAGGGGAAGTGAATAAGAACCGAAATACCAGAAAGTTTTTTGTATCTTTAGAGTCACACATTCCTAGGTTCAAGTCCTGGCTCAGTCATGGATTAGCTGAGCGACCTTGGGCAAATAATTTAAAGTTTCTGAGCTTCAATTTTCCTGTTTATAAAATGGGAACATGAATTCCACCTCCTCATGTATGAGATGAAGCTCATACATGTAGCTCAGTGCCTGGCTCAGGAGACACTAGCTATTATTGCTAGAGTTTCTCCTTTTTTCCCCACTTTTCTATTTATTTACTTCTCCTTTTAAAATTTTATTTACATGTACAAAAAACCACAGAAGCCAGTTTCTCTTCTTAAATATTTTGGTCTGGCTACCAAAGAAAGATGGTCAAGATCATAATTAAGGTTTAAGGGCTTACTGTATACCTGGCTTTGTTCTAAGCATTTTACTTTTATTAAAGTACCAGGCTGGGTGAGGTGGCTCATGTCTGTAATTCTAGCACTTTGGGAGGCCAAGGTGTGAGGACCACTTGAAGCTGGAGTTTAAGAACAGCAGCGAAACATAGTGAGAAGCCATCTCTACAGAATATTAAAGAATTAGCTGGATGTGGTGGTGCGCCCCTGCATCCCCAGCTACTTGGGAGGCTGAGGTGAGAGAATCCCTTGAGCCCAAAGGTTCAAGGTTGCAGTGAGCTATGACTGTGCTACTGCACTCCAGCCTGGACAAGAGTGAGACCAAAGTATCTATTCTCCCTAAAAATAAAACAAAATGAAAACCCAAAACCCCCACAACTGTTTTAAGTTACTTTGACCTTCATAAAAAAAGTATCTCCTTTATTAAGTAGGTAACATTATTATCCCCAATGTACAGATGAGGAAACTGAGGCATAGAAGTTAATAATTTATTCAAAGCTGCCAGATGTAGTGGCTCACGCCTGCAATCCCAGCACTTTGGAGGCTGAGGCAGGCGGATCACAAGGTCAAGAGATTGAGACCATCCCGGCCAACATGGTGAAATCTTGTCTCTACTAAAAATACAAAGATTAGCTGGACGTGGTGGTGTGTGCCTGTAGTCCCAGCTACTTGGGAGGCTGAGGCAGGAGAATCGCTTGAACCCAGGAGGCAGAGGTTGCAGTGAGCTGAGATTGCACCACTGTACTCCAGCCTGGTGACAGAGTGAGACTCCGTCTAGAAAAAAAAAGTATTCAAAGCCATGATAGTAAGTCTTGAAAAGCTGTGGACAGTGGCTCAATATTACAATCCCTGAACTTTGTGAGGCCAAGGAAGGAGGATCACTGGAGCCCAGGAGTTCAAGACCAGCCTGGGCAACAAAGCAAGACCCTCTCTTTTTTTTGGAGATGGAGTCTCGCTCTGTTACCCAGGCTGGATTGCAGTGGCATGATCCTGGTTCACTGCAATGTCCGCCTCCAGGGTCCAAGCAATTCTCCCACCTCAGCCTCCTGAGCTGCTGAGACCACAGGCATGTGCCACCACACCCGACCAACCTCTGCATTCCAGTAGAGACGGCTTCACCATGT